AGGAGACGTACCATGACATTCCCTCTCAAATTAAGTAAGCACGTGTGTGCTAATAGATGTGCGTGGAAAAACTTACGTATTCACAAAAGTTGTATATGTAGAACTTTAAAAAAAAAAAAATAAATAAAGTCTTGTACTGCATTGTCTGCGTACATGGCGAGGCTCATAAGCGTGCCCTGTGTGCGCCATCCGCAGAGTGAAGTGCAGGGCGGTTGCTACTAAAACATCGTTTCACCAAAGATGCGTTTGTAGGGTATGTTCCACAAATTGATTGGGGCCTACTTCTGTTTGCGCTTCTGCTGGTTCTTCAAATCCTTGCGATCCAAAATTTTCACAAAAAACTTCTTCTTCTTAGTGACAGCTAATTTTCCTAGATCTTTCATGTTGTCGATTTTTAAGGATTTTATTTTTTTCCTGACATCATGTGGTAATGAGTGTTCTAACAGTTTGAGTTGCATGAAGTTTTTTACCTTATTGTCTTCTTCCTTTTTCCTGTTCTCATTCTTTTTTGTTTTTTCGTTTATTTTTTCCTCCAGCTGCTTTAGCTTTTTAAAGGACTCCAGACTCAAGTCTTCATCGTTTATCATCCTGCCTCTGGTTCGTTAGATGATGCCTTGTTAACCAGTGTGGCGGTCGTAATGTTGCGCCTATTTTGAGTGACTTCTCAAGGATGGAACAAAAATTTCCTAGAGTTTGGGGCTTATTTATATATGAATGGTGAGAAGGACACAGTTTGTGCAGCGTAAAGTATATATATGGATATAAAATTTTGCTAATCTGTTGCTTATTTTTCACTGGGGACATATGCTGTGAATTGAAAACGCTCACATGAGAGTGGCACTTTCGAGCAGATGTGCCCACTGTGCAGGACAGTACCGTTTTCTAAATCCACACGTGGAATTTCAAAAATGTGGAGTAGCAGGAGTGGCACGGTAAAGTTACTTGAAAAGCATTACTGCCTTTTTCTTTTCTCCTTTTTATTCATATATTGCGCAGGTAATTTCTACCGTTTATACATTTACTAATTTATTTTTCTGCAACTTTTTGGATTGCTTAAATATCTGTAGGTTGTTATTTTTGCTACGGACGAACTCCCATTTGGTTCATTGTCACGCTTATTTTTATTGCGCTGCCAAGTGGGAGGGCAGCTTTTGAGAGAACAGGATAGCGTACGCTGAACAGAGAAAAAGGGAAAGGTACGCCATCTAAAGCCTTTATTTTTTATGTTTTTTTTTGTTTACATTTTAAGAAGCGCCAAAATTGCGCCGCAATTTATATGTTGTATTTTTAAAAATAAAAAAAAAAAAATGTTGAAAAAAAAAAAGAAAAATTCGAACAGGGGGAAATTGTTACCGGACACGGCATATATTTTTTTACGCAAAAAAAAAAAAAAAAAATATGTTGACAAAAAAATAATATCAAGCAAATGAATGAATATCGTTACAAACTGTAATAAAAGCAAAAGCTGCTCTATTGATAAATAATCCCCCTTCACTTTACAAACAAAAAGAAGGACGACAAAACGACAGCTATTATGTGGACGGTACGCGCTAATTTTTGGAGGCCAATATATGATCTTTCAAATTTGACAGACCATTTGCACACATATATATACGTGTTGTTCAGTGGTCAGAGGATGCGCATGAATATCTGTACCATTTCATAAAGGTGCAAAATTTACGCTTCTCCTTCGTGGACCCATCAATCAGCATTCACAGCCGTGGATGTGCGCAAAATTTTTATGTCAAAAATGGGTTTATTTGTCGCCGTTGTCTTCACGGCGGCCATATTTTCAATGCAAGTCATATTTTTGCTGACCCTGGCAAAAATGGTGTGTTTTCCATCCAAATGTGGTAAAGGGGCTAGGGTTATAAAAAACTGTGAGGAGTTTGTATTAGGGCCATTATTGGACATGCTTAATATTCCAGCCCCAGTATGCTTTAATTCTTTATTTATTTCATCTTCGAAATATTCTCCATAAATGCTTTTACCCCCTTTCCCTGTGCCCGTGGGGTCACCACCTTGGATGATGTAGTTGGGTATAACTCTGTGAAATAGGGTGTTGTCATAATAACCCATTTCACATAATGAATAAAAATTGAAACATGTTTTGGGGCTATGGTACCAGTACAATTCTATTTCGAACTCCCCTAAATTTGTGTATATTGTTATGTGTCCTCTTTCTTCTTTTCCTTTTAATTTATAATAGGATATTTTTTCTTCAAATGATTTTTTTTTTTCGGACACGGCGTTGATTATTTCTGTTTCTTCATTTTGTTCGTCGTCACTGTAGCCTTTACACAGAGTGAACATTTTAGGAGCTGCACGATGGGGTGTCTCTTATAGTTTTTTGGGGTGTGTTTTAGGTTTAATAATATGAAGTTAGGCTGCTGATAATTCTATTGTCTCTTTGATACGTTAATGGACGTTCTTTTGTTGTGACACTGTTCCTGTTGTGGTTCCTTTGCGCGTGCGACGAGTAGGGCGGTCATGCACAAACGTTTTGTAAGCTTATGCGCGTGTGTACGTACACAGGTAGGTATATACGTGTATTGTGCGCCTGTAATGGTTACTAATAGGAGTTCTTGCGGAGCTGTTGGTACGATGCAAATGCGGAACTTTTTAGAGCGGGGGTCCAAGCTATCAACTTACTTGTGCTTTTCTTTTGCAATGGCGAGGCGGTTTTACAGTAAAAGCGAAAGGAATCGCTCACAAAATGGCTAGTCTCCTTTTTGTGTACTTCTTTAAGCGAGCACCTCTTAACGCTTCAAAGGACGTATCATTTTTGATACGGTAAGTATAGAAGCACTTGTATTTTGATTTTCCTCTTTTGCAATTAATTTTACGCCATGCGAGAGGGGCCTACGCGCTAGATGAAACGTATTATCGTTGGGGCTTTTACTCATCTCCCATTTTTTGGTAGATCATTTTTGTGTTCATTCTTTCTGTGGTGACAATTTTATTTTGCTCTTTTACGCGCCATGTGACGGGTGCTCAGAACAATGTGGCCAAAAAAAAAAAAAAAAAAAAAAAAAAAAAAAAAAACTAAAAGTAAAAAAAAAAAAAAAAAAAAAAAAAAAAAAAAAAAAAATTTATTGTGTGATCAACCGTCGGGTAGGCACACCTGTGTACCACACGTTGGCAGTTTATGGGGATTATTTGTATTTATTGCATTTTGGGGGGAGACTGCTCTATACCATTTGCGTAAATGCTACATTTAACGTGACACGTTGTTCACCCTGCATAGTCCACTATAGGAACTGTTTGAAACGGCCTTGCCGATTTTGCAAATTGTTTTCTTAAATAGTTTAATAAGGAGGTAAGGGAAACTAACTGGTGGGCGGCATCAAGTGCAAACTGAGAAAAGTGTGTCTCCTCAGGATGTTGCCACAGGCCACTTATAAAGTTTGGCATGAAATAGCCCCGAACGGGAGTAAGACCACGAACGGAGTGTACATATTAAAAAAAAAAAATATGTATATAGAAAAAAAGAGACACAAAATGGGGGATGCCACATAACTACAGAATGGCGCGCGTATTTTTTTTTTTTAATCCTTCTGTAGCAGTGTATCCGCAGCAATATGCCACTTTACTTTTTGAAGGTTGCACAAAGTTTTCTTCTCAGCTACATTGTGCAAGCGACACGAACGTGTGGCGATGGTGCCGGCAGGTAGGAAAGAAATGTTCCCCCGCGTTTATGTTGATGGTGTCCTTTTGTGGAGAGACAACCTTTCGCTCGACATGCTTCGAAGTAGGCATGGTTGAGTGCACTTTACACCATCACGGCTAAGCTTGACACATGATGTCACTTTTTATAATAATAAAATCATCAAACATTCTGTCCTGGGAAAATACAAAGTCATCAACTTTGGGATAAATGTCCATAGAGGTGCTTGAAAATTGGTCAACAGTGTCATTATTTTTTTCACGTGAAAGGGACAACTTGGTCTTAGGGATAACGTAATAAGCAATTTTGTTTAAGAATAATTTATTGTACAGTTTGGTAACATTTTTATAATTAATATTGTTATTTTCAACCTCTTCATTTGGGTCCTTTAATAAAATTAAGCCAATGAGTTCTTTTTTTTTTTCTACTTTTTGCAACTTGTCCTTATCTTTGCCAAAGTGATTTTTGTACTCGTAGGCAATTTCTGCTCTGTTTATAAGGGTTAAAATTTTTAATAAATTTTTGCCCGCTAAATTAAGCAAAAACTCAGTTAAAAAAGTTAATCTGTCTTTGTTGCTTAGTACATGTAATCTTTTAATTAGACCAATGCCATGAAGGTCTTTTTTTAAAATGATGCCACATTTTGTGTACACAATAATATTTTCTTCAAGATTAATAACTGTTGTTTTGTTTATGCGATTTGCTAATTCGAAAGCGCTGAGGACAGATTGCATGAAGCTGACTCTTCCTGTATATGTGTGTCCAAGAACCCCATAGGTAATTTTCCTATTCGTGTTAAACAAGTTTTTCACAAGTGACTTTACAAATATTTTGTAGTTGGTACTGTCGCTGGGGATATTATTTGAACGCCCTGGTGCCAATTGGGGGGCTGCATTATTTCCTTCTACGACTAAATAGCTCATATTTTGCTTCTCATAACATATAAAGGGTATTGTTAAAAAAGAGGTGCGAAAGAAATGTAGCCATTGTTGGATTAGAGTCACGTCTACCAAATCGCATTTATTTAAAATTAAAATGACTTGCTTTTTGCACTGCTTAATGAAGTCTATTATATCTTCCTCTAAATACATTAATGGGTTCCTAACATCTATGATGTAAAAAAGGGCATCACAATTTCGTATGATTTCTAGTAGGTTATCCAGGTGTAAGTACTTTTCGTTTAGTGAGGGATACTTTTCTTCCTTTGCCTTTTCAAATAAGTGCATTTTTGTCGCGAATTTTAGATCGAGATAGTTGTAAAAGGGTAGGGAACATGCGTTAGCTTCGTCTACAGGTGCGCTTCCACATGTTGTGCTACCATCCAAGGTGCCATCATTTAGAAGTGCGCCGCGAGGAACATGGTTTAGTTTCTCCTGCGGGACCCCCTCCGAGGACATGTCCAACTGAAACATCATATTCTGCAACGTGCAATCATCGTGTTGCTCCAAGTTAAATTCCTTGCATGTGTCTTCATCATCGTTATTTTTGTTTTTTTTCTTCGAAGAAATTATCTTTATATTACTTAATATGTCTTTTTTAAAAATACATTCTGGTATTTTCATAGATTTTTTCGTACTCCTTCTATTATGTATTTTTGTTTTTTTAATGATTTTTTTTAATTTCTTCTTGTGTGCCGCTACTTTCTTTGTGATGGCATATTTCTGTTTAAGGGGTTGCCTCTTACTTATTTTTCCTAGCTTCACCATTTTGTTCTGTTATGCCTTTTATGCGCACGGAATTGTTAGACTGTCCTTCGTCGAAGGATACAATTATCGACACGGAGGAAAAGATGGGTCGCTCATCAGACAACATGAAACGTCGCCCCTTCACATAAGCGGTTAGAGGAATAAAAAAGGGGGGTGGGGTGTACCTTTCGTGAACGCTATGATAGAGAGATGGGTGGGTTCACACGGCTGAAACAGTAGGCTGGCAAAATGGCGTCCACTTATTCATTAGCACAAGAGCATATTAGTACGCATATACAAACCCCATGACAGCACACGTGTTATGTTCACGGTCGCGATGATACGCAGTTACATATAAAAAATAGAATGCATAGTAGAGACTTCAAAAAATGGGCACTTGTAAGTGTTGCCTCCTACGTTTACCTAAAGTGGACATGCCCTTTATATGCCACTCCACAATGTAGGATAAGTATACAATGCAATAACTTATAAATTTCGTTCGTTGTTGCTGTTCAAAACAACGTAAGAGCAAAACCTTCAAGTGGAACGAAAAAAAGAAAAAAAAAAAACAAGAATTTCCCCGCGTCGCATAAGGAAATATGGTACTATAACATATGTATTTTTATCTATTCAAATCGGTAAGATAAAGCAGTCATATCGCTTTTATAAAAATAGATGAGTTTGCAATTTTTAAAAGCAAATGCTTTGTAAACATACTGTTATTGTAAAGGGAACAAAAAAAAATGGCAGCTTTCTTTGCAGGTAAAAAACGGGCGAAAGCAAAAGAGTACGAGATTTTTTTTTTTTTTTTTTTTTGGGTGTCGTTTCGTAAAACCTATGCAAATTTTATACAGGGTTTTAGCTCGATGTCGCCACATGTTTTTTAGTACATTTTAAAATTGCGTCATGCGGAAAAAAGCACATACAAAAATTGTTGAACAACCGTAAAGAAAAAAAATGAATTCGATCAAAAGGACAAAATGATGAGAAATGGAGTCATTTTTTGTTGAAAAATTTGGAAAAAATTTGCTTTGCCATTTTTGGAAGTATTATCCATTTTTTAAAATAAAAAACGGGCATATAGAAGATAACTCAACTGGTCCAATTGACAAAGGTGGCAACTTGTTTTTCCATTCACATATAAATGGTAGCGTATGCGAACCGTGTTGCGTTATCCTTTTTGCGGCTTAAGCAGCGGCGAGGCAGAAGGCAAATTTCCCCCCTTTTTCTGTTTTTTTTTTTTTTTTTTTTTTTTTTTTTTCATGTAGAATGGGCAGAAATAAGCAATTAATTTTCATTTAGGGGTTCCCTTTCCATCAATGTTGATGATACGATTGTTTACTTTGACCTTCCCAATTGAGCAAGTTGATAAGGTAAAAGTGGTTGGCACAATGGAGGGGAAAGACAAGAAAAATGAAACCCAAAATTGAGCGAACTTTTTTCCGCCTCTTTTTATCCGTGTCCGATTTTAACCAATTCACGCCTTAATGGGAAAAGAACTGCAGGGAGGTCAAATGCCCCCTTCTGAACACGTTTCCATTTTTATGTTTACCCAAGCGAACGCCACAACGGTGGTCGTTCCTATTTAGTTGTAATAGTTTCATCATTCATATGTGTAAATCGGACAGTATTTTATCATGTACGCTCAATATGTTACAAATAAATCGATTTGATGGACGCCGAAAGTGCTCTCTTTTACATAAATAATTGTGCAGTTGGACAATGGCACATGTCTGTTCCCGTTCACCATGCTCTTATTCGCACACAAGGTGTCTCGTTAAGCAATTTAAAATCATCACTCTGATGCTTCTATGAAGAAACGGTAAAATGGATCATCCATTCGCGCAATATACATGTAGACAATATGCATGAATATTGGGATTGGCACGTTTCTCCCTCATGTAAAGGTAAGGATAAGCATCCCATATGTACTACACGAATGGGGGAACATATATTCATCCCTTGGCAGCTTGTACATCTCCCGCTAACCCTTCATATGGGATGCATTGAAAAGTTTTTAAACTTTCTTTTTCTCCCTCCTTGTGTTCAAGCATTAAATGCAACATGCGCCATGTAAGCACCCATTTGGGTTGATTGGAGAGCAGGGCAGACAAAACCGTATGCACATTAGAGGAAATATCTTAAGTCTTAAAATTTGTGAGCTTCTACCACATCTCCTGGGTTGACACCGTCCTCATGTTTGCTATCATCTGGTTGTATCTGCGGTGACAGAAAAGAGACACAAAATTACACATGTAGCTGATACAGGCTATGTGCATATGTTTGTCCCCATATTGAGGAATTATTTCCTCCCAAATAAAGAAGCGTGTGGAGTGCCTGTTCGATCCATTGGCTCTCCCATGTATATATGTTTTTCATCACCGATCCGCGTGCTCCACATTTCTTCGTCCTGAGACATGACTGATGAGGATTTTCCAACTGTGCAAAATCGAACACGACGTAGCTTTCCCGATCGACGAAGTAATCTATGACTTCGCAGAAGTACCCTTCAATTTTGTTTTCTACAAGGGGACGGGGGAGATAAACCGGGGGTGAGCAAAATTGGTGAGAGGTCTTCTAGTGTTGTAACGGCAAGGAGTGTCCATGCGAGTGTCCGTTGTCCATGGCACCTTTTTTTTTTTTTTTTGTCCTTACCCAGTTTGTTACCATCTTTCAGAATAGGCTGAAAATTCAGTACCATAAAGTTTTGCATTTTTTCCTGCGAAAAGTTTTTTTTTGGAGGAGCAGTTGATATAATGGGCCGTTGTTAACACCACTTGAGGGAAGTCTCTACACTGGGCTTCAATTACCTTTGCCTTTTTTATGGCTTCATTTAGGGTTTGAAATGAAAATTTGTCCACCTTGTGGTTACATATTCCTTGTGTGTTTACAAGAGCGGGGGCGAATTGCTCAAAGATTTTTTCCTTCACGCTGGTAAGCCACCTGCAACGAGGGGAAGCTCATGGGGGTGATGTCCACATAGGGGGTTCGTGCTCCTACCAAGCTAAGCTTATCATCAAAGGAGTTTCTTTTTTTTGCAAATTTTTCTCTCTTCTCATGTTACATTTCGTCATGTATTGGTCTTTTAAGGACAAATTTTTTGTCATAGCAAAGTCGGATTTCTTGCTTTGTGCCATTATATAGGAAGTAGTTGCAGAAGGGGTCTTCGTCACAGTACTTGAGTAAGACGGGGCGGGTGAACAAATTTGTTTGAAAATGAACGTCGTTATATTTGCAGACTCATGTAAGCAGGGTCAGAATGTACAATTCTATGCACATGCGAGGAGTTACTCTTTGGATTAAATAATTTTTTGGTTCCAACCAGTTGTCCATGGTTGACGCTGAGGGAAGATTTCCTCTTACTTATAACTATGAAGAAGAAATAACAGGCGATTAAAATTTGTCACCTTTAGCTGATGGTTGTTTGAAAAAATCGTATTGAACACAGCTTCCCCATTTTCTACTGACCATTATAATTTTTGCAGTCAAAATAAGATTCTGAAGGGTAAAGAGAAGAAGGGGATGTCGCAAATCAGAAGGGGTAACGTGTCAACCCATTTGGTGATGTAGATTATTTAAGGGGAAAGGTTGAATACTTGGAAGGACCAAATATTTCTTTTGTGTGATCCCGTTGTCGAAGTTGAAGCCTAACGCCTGTACATCGGGGATGGAAAAAAAAAGACGAGGCACACACATGTATACATGCATCTGTATATTCATGTGAACATCCATATGTGCCCACGGTGTAGCGAGAACAAAGGTGCGAACGATTAGTATATAGCTAATGCACATTTGCAGCGGTGCACTTGTCCTGTTTGCCAAACGAATAAACTGGTAAGGAGAAAAAAATAGAAGGTTTATTCCTTACCAGGGTATTGGTAAGTGCCATGAATAGACAAAGGTAGCTTATGCCTCGGATGACGCACCTCATTTTGAACATGACAAAACAACGTGAATTACAAAAAAGAAGGATGAAGAGACAACGTACGGATTGAACAAAGCGCGGAACAGGTTGACGTGTGGGAGGTGGAAATACCTTTGCTCTGTGGTGAAGGAGAAAAGGAAGAATCTTAATTTGCACGTTTTTGCTGAAAAATACGACCCCCCAAAAAAATGATGACACTAATATGGACAGTAAAATACACTTTGATTATCTCCTGGTGGGGACGATTTTGTGAGGATCTCCGAATGTATATACAAAGCAGTGCAATTAGTGGGTAATATAAAAATGTATGTATTAAAAAAAAAAAAAAAAAAAAAAAAAAAACATTCAGCGGAGCAACAAAAGAGCAGTTCCTTGACTGAGATACATGGAAGGTCTACCACCCTTTCCGTAGTAAAGTAGGCTTGTAACTTTGCTTGAAGTTGCCTCTTTACCCTTTGCGTTCGTCCGTTTTACAAATGTTACCATTTTTTAAAAGAGCAACGGCGCTTTATAATGTTTTAAAATGAAAGGGGAACAGGGAAAAAAAGTTATATTGCAAAAAGTTACAGCGAAACAGCGAAAAAAAGCAGGGAGGCTAAATCAACATATCATTTTTGTCTACATGAATATAAATACACTAAAAAAATTAAAAAAAAATAGCTCCCCCTGAATTTAGCTGGTTTAATATTTCGTATAATTCTTCACAAAAAAAAAAAAAAAAAAAAAAAAAAAAAAAAAAAAAAAAAAAAAAAAAGAGCAGCATGATGGTGAGCATAAAATGGGAACTTTGTCAATATTGCAAAAGGAAAATGAAAAAAAAAAAAAAATAAAGAAAAAAGAAATGGAGACACAAATGAAGAAATTAAAAAGATTCAAATTAGGTACAAAACATGAGTATGCATATTTGCGGGATGAAAAATGAACTTCATTTTTATTTTGTTCCCAAAGGGGTATGTGTGCAATTTGTTCCGCAGGGGTTCCACAAGTTGGTGCTGCAACTGGGGTTGCTTGGCACGCTCCTTGAAGTTCAGCAGACCTGCACCGGGTTGACATATTTTGCAGTGGTCCCCCTCAACCGATGACGAAGTGACTCTTGAAACCCATTTCCTCCTTGGAGTCCTCCACCTTTTCACGTCTGTCCAGGATGAAAATGAGAATTCCAATGACAGTCAAGCAAATGAGGGTGATGTAAATGATGGAGTAAAACTTCTTGGACGGGTTGACGGAGAGCTGAATTTGCCACTTGTTCGAGTTGTCCAGCGGATATGGAATGACGATGATATGCGAGTTAGGGATGATAGATACCCACATGTTATAATATTTCTGTTCATGTGTGGGCATGCCGACATAGAACTCTTCCACGTAGTTACTGGTTCTACCTAGTCCAAACAAAACATAGGGTAATTGCAAAGGGGAATGAGCGGACTGGCTTTTCTGAATTCCAATTCTGCTTGATTTAACACCATTTACATCAACGACGGTAATTTTGAATGTGGGTCCATGGGCATTTCCCCCTAACGTTTTGGTGGTTATTTTATCCTTCTCCTTGTAGCAGTCGTTAACACATATGCCATTTAAGGCTGTAGACTTTAGGAAAAGGGAATCCGTTTCGTTGCTTCTGATGAACCCTACAGCGCCATACTTGGTCTGCTTGCTAGACGCTTTGTATTTTCCAAAGATGAGAATATCTAATACTCCATTTTCGAATATGTCAAAGAAAGCAGAATTGTAAACATCTGTGACGATTTCATCTGGGGATGTAACGAATTGGTAAAAATTAAAAAAGCCTCGAATGTCTATGTTATTTTCTTCATATATGCCCTTTTGTTCATTTTTATAAATTCGTACATACTTTTGACCTTTATCATTTTTTAATGTTATTAGTAGATCTAAGAACCCATCGTCATCTACATCTCCGACGCTTAGGTAGTAGGGATAGTCTGCATTTCCTGATAAGTGCAAGCCAGATGTATCTACCACCGATACAAAATCATCATTTAATTCTTGTACAAAAGTGAAGTCACTTTCTGAGCATAAGTTGGATGCCAATCTGCATTTACTTTCATCTGGTTTTTGCCAAGAATGATCACATATTTTTTTTTGAACATTCGGGATGAAAAATATTTTATCATCACTAACACAGCAGTAGTTACAGTAGGAGCTTTTGATACACGTTGGAACTACAATGTCGATGGATCCATCTCCATTAAAATCTCCAAACAGGACTTGTAAAGAATTGGGTGGTAAAATATAATCTTCTTTATGCTTCACGTATATGCTTTTTCCATCCACAATTTTATTTAGCCAGATTTCGAGAGAGGAGTTTTTTTTTGCATTTTTTTTATCATATATAGTGAAGACCAAATCTGCTTTACAATCTCCGTTGATGTCTACAACTGCGCTTGAATTAGGGTTCGTAATTTCTCCTACTTCTGATTTTTCAAAAAGTTTCATATTTTTCCACAGTGCACTTTTGAATGACCCATTTTTGTTAATCCATACAAAACGCGAAAAGCCACCTGGCTCATTGGAAGGTTGTTGTCCTATAAGATCTGGGAGCCCATCATCATTTATATCACAAACGAGTGGGTGAATATTACTGAAGTAGATGCTATCATTGGTTTCTTTTGCACCTGCCTTTTCGTCACCCGTTACACTAGGTGTTATGTACGTGCCATATTCTGGATCTGATATGTCCTCATTTTCCATTTCTTTTTTTCTTGAGTTAAATACTTCTTCCAGTTTTTCATTTTCGTTTTGCAAAAATGAGGCAATATAATACTTGGGATTTCTGCTACTATCCTTGGGGTCTTTAAACAGCACGAGGACATCTAGAGCGCCATCAAAATTGAGATCAATTGCAGTGACGTTCATTATTTGTCCTTCCAAATTGGCTTCCGTGTGATACACAAATTTGTTTTCATGCACGCTGAAAATGTGCACATAGATAGTACTCATCCGTTTGTCTTTGTCATAGTTAAACAGAATCAAATCCGTTTTCACATCAGAGTTATAATCCCCAAAATCACCAATCTCCGCATTTATATTCAGGCCAAGGTTGTAATTTATTTTGTATTCTAGCTTTTCTGTCGGACTTATAGATTTCCATTTCTCAAACAAGTTCCAGTTATATCCTTGCACGTGAAATCCTGTGTAGTGCGCTTCATTTTCTTTTCCTGATAGGTTTATAAATGCACTCTTTATGATGTTGTAGATGAACAAAAGGGACACCAGTTGGAGCACAATGTTATACTTTCTGCATATTGCCATATTGAGTCTTTTGCTGAGTACGACTACTTGGAGCGGAGGAGGGTGTGGTGATAGGGAAAAAAAAAAAAATACAGGTCACCACAATTGTATATTCGGAATGGCTGGTACTTAAAAAATAGGATGCTCTTTTCGCTATCAAATACGTTTTTTTGTTTTTCTCCTTTTTGTGTGTTAAAAAAAAAATATATATTCCCCGTCTATGTCACGTATGGCTTATGCGTACGTTAACGGTATGCTATGCGCCCCTTGCTTAAATATCATTGTACAGAGTAGCCAAAGGGGAACACGCGTTGAGGCAAAGGTTAGGAAGTCTCCCACGTTATTTTAAGAAGGCACATACACACATGCGTAAGGAAAAAAAAAAAAAAACCACTGCGTGTAGTGCTCATGTGCGGGACACTTCAAAAACCTTTGAATTTTCCCAACATACAAAATGAGCTGTTTCAAAAGTTTTTCATAAAATAAAATAATACGCAAACAACGTGGAGTTAAAAAAAAAAACATAAAGCCAAATCAGAGGGAAGCACACGTATAACTATGTACCAAATCAAATGTCACTTGGTGTGTTCTGTTTTGCTAAGTTTATATATACACGAATTCGTGAATAAAAATGTATATTGATACGTGGACTGTTGATTGAGGGGGGCATATGGCCCCAGCAACAAAACAGGTTAAGCATGTCAGTTGGACTTGACAGAAATGGGTACATACTATACGTTCAGTACGTATGTACGTTATTATATTTGCCTTTTATGCGTAGTCCTCAGTACAACTGCAAAGGCTGCAAAGGAATAATTCATAACAAAAAATTCTCTCAACTATGCATAACGAGCGATGGTTAAGAGAGGGTAAAAATTCCGCCAATTGTGGTCATGTGAGCCGAAGTATGGCTAATTATGGCTAAATATGCCAAATGATTACTGGCGAATAGGCGAGCGGCGGAAAAAAAAAAAAAAAAAAAAAAAAGAAGAAACTGCTGCTTGTTAAAATATGTATGGCGTGATGAAAAAGCATCACAAGTGATAAACGGGTAAGATCAAATTGAAAGGACAAAAAATCCCAGTGTTTTCACTGCAAGTTTAATTCGCCCCAACGTTCGAGTTTTATCAATGTGAGGATGCGCGTTTATTCGAGTCATCTCTTATGCCATCTGATTATATAATACGCGTGGTGCATGCATTGGGCACGTATAAGAAAAGTTCCTCGTGTTTTTTTTTTTTTTCTCACAAGGCACCTCGGCAAAACAGCAAAGATGGGATTTTAGCGGGGGGTAAAAATCATGGGCTAAAAGGATGCGCAAATATTTTTAACAATTCAAAACGTAAAAAAAAAAACAAAAATAAATAAAAATTAAAATTAACGTTAGCGTAAATGTGAAGGTAAAGCAGGGCCAAATACGCATAACTGCGCGCAAGCGTCGAGCGTCAAATGCCAAAAGTGCAGAAATGGAAATACATACACGTATGGGGAAAGAACGCCAACATAACATCCCTTTCCTTCCTTTGTTATGAACATTTTGAAGCAGTTTTGCCTCTCTGCTGGGTGTACTAGCACCTCGTGCCTTTTTGGTCCAATTGTCAGCCCAAAGAAGAACGATATGTTTATCACATTCGAATTATTTCCGGAGAGACGCTCCAAAAAGGTAGAAAAACTCCCCGCGTTTGTTACGTCCAAATGGGCCGTGTACATGTGCGACGTTCATTTCTTCCCGTCTTTACTTAAAATTCTTCACTGGGAGGCTCATTGGGGCTATAAGGAAAAAAAAAAAAAAAAAAAATTATTGGTAAATTAAAAGTTGGCTTAAAAAAGGTGGTACTATATATCAATCCATGGTAGATAAAAACAGAATTGGCTGCGCTTTGCTTAATAAGTATATGTCCACATTGCTACGACGAATTCGCGTGCTGTATAACTTTTCGTGCATTTCTGCGTACGCCGTAATGTGCTTACTTGCACTTTTTGTCCAGGGCCCAGTTCCTCAAGTTGTGGTAGGTTGTAGCTCCGCAAATATTGTAGTGCGTCTTCAAGTTATAGTAATAAGGCAACCCTCCACATAGATTATCATAATCCAGCTGTTGGAGCAACTCAAAGTTGTATGAATTTTCATACATTTCTAATTTTAAAAGGTTAACCCCTTCTTCTTCCTTTAATTTGGTTAGCAGCTTTTCCATACTGTTGCAGTATTCGCAATCTTCACTGTGGAAACACAGAAGGTGTGGTAATTTTTTTTTTTCCAAATTGAGAAAAGAAAGAGCGTTCCTTTTTCGTCTCATGTACCTGCCAGCTAATCTCTTATTCTGCGTAAAATTGAGTGCTTGGTAAATCATGGGTGCTGCGTTCTGTGATGTTAGATGTGTTGAGTGGTGGCCAATATTTAGAACCACTCCCCTGACCGCGTTATCATTGTGGCGAACAAAAAGAAGACTTAAAAAAATTGTAACAAAAAAAAAGGATACAGAGACAATGCTAATTGTGCGAAATCTCGGTGAAAAAAACATGAGCCAAAAATTATTTGCAGTGGAAGGGGTTTTCTGGTTTTGTTTCGGCTATTATATTTGTTATTGTGTGCAACGTGCAGGCACACATATGTGGGCTGGTGGTCGTAGAAATCGTGCTGCCTCTGCAAAAATATGTTCCCATTTTAAATGTACACGATATGAAATGCGACGCGGTATAAATTTCTCTGCATGGTTCCTTCTACTAATGGTGTGGTGAATGGGTTACGTGGAGTAACTTGTTTTTTTCTAAGTTAAGAGGAAAGGCGTATTCTCGATTAGGGCATGTACAAATTTGGTTTTTCCTAAACAATGTAGGTTGATTAAATTGGCATAAAAAAAAAAAAAAAAAAAGTGACTTCCTGCTTTATATATGTGCTTATATGCCATAGTAACTGCTCACTAGTGTGGTAACTACTAACGGGTCGTTTTTCAAATTTGCAAAATAGCACGAGTGTTGATTCCGTTCTGTATTGGGGCCCGCTAGCTTGGCGAAGTTTTACGTGTTATTTGTCGTTGTGCGATAAATGTCAACACATCACGAAAGGGGGGTGTATGGGTTCGTATGTACCTATCTCGTCACAAATAACGTGTCACGACATTTTGTGACGTCGCTATGCTGTGTTGCTTTCCCAAAAATGCAGGCGAATGGGGGAGTCCCGGAAAAGGTGAATGTGCAAATTTTTGAAAAAATAAACTTTTCTCTTTTTGTTCACGCACCCTCATTTTTTTTTTTTTTTTGAATTAGCCCCAAAGGTTGTCAAACTGTGTATGTATAAAGCGCGCACATACAAACGCACATACATTTAAACAAAACGCTAGGTGTGGAGCATGATAGGGGAAAAAACAGTCATAGAGCAAATTCCATACGTATGATGCCACGTAACACCAAATTGTAAACAAATCCATACTTGAAATAGGATAGAAACAGATAAGCACAATTGACTTACACAGAAGAACCATTTTCTTTTTTTTTTTCTAGCTCCTCTTTCACTATACGAAGATCATCCCACAGCATGCTCAACCCTTACCTAGAGGCAATCACTCCAGTGCAACCCACCCATCTCTCTCTCCCATGATCGAGGAAAAAATTTGCCATACTCTTACACGTCTGCCCTGCACATAGGCAGGCACCGTTTAAGGCATCAGACGATAGGGTACAAAAATATCCCAAGATGTTTTTGATCCTTTTTTTCTGTATATATATGCTTCATGCTTTGAGAGGCTTGAAAATAGACACAGGAGTTGAAAGGGACATAGGCTTATTAGTAACTAACGATAGAACGTACAGGAGAACAGTGCGCGAAAGAAACCTGTGCTTATTAAGGAGTAAAATAAGTTTTAACTTCTGGAAGAAGAAATATCATGAGAGGTCCATAGATGAGAAGCTGAATGTCATCCCAGTGTACATATTGACAAATTATAATAATTCGCCCTACATATTTCACGAGAATGAAAAACAAGTGTGTTACCTTTTTCTATGTCCGTACGATGCGGAGAATATGTTGAAGGATATAGTAAATAGCAATGGGGTGAGAAATACCAGGAATATAAAAATACATTACTTGAATATGCAGAAGGCTTATGAGCTGATAAACGAATTTTTACTTTTGAAAAAAGCCGAGAAGAGAAATCCTCATGTGGGCAAAAATAACGTCTGCTGGAAATTAATACCGTCAAAGAGACAAATGCAAAATGCGCTTTTATTTTTATCCTTTAATAAAAAAAGCGAATTGGTATGTCCTGTTTTTTATGTAGACGGGTATTACCTACAACGGGATTCCACAGACATTGTGCCTTTGTTTTTCGATGTGGAGGATTTGAAGAGTGCTATTGCAAATACGCCCCTGAAAAATAACAAAATTAAGGTCCTTAATTTTGTCGACGTGATATTTTCGGTAAGAACAGCGCAACTGGGTAGTGGAGTGAACGCGAAGGGAATAACCCTCTTCGTGTGTGCTTGTGTAGTTTGGGTAGCCGGTACCAGAAAAGTTGAACATGGGATGGCGCATAAATGTGGTTACGCTAAGAATATGAAGATGCGCATGTCCTTATGTTACGCTTGCGCTTACGTGTGTATTCTTTGTACGACCCTGCTTGCGCATTTATCCTTCACATTCGCGGATGTGAGGCGCAAACGAGAAATTGCCCCCTTTTTTTTTCGCCAGGACGATCACAAGAAGTTTGGATTCATACCCAGTTCGAAGAGTGTGGAGTACTTGGACAGGTTGAAAAAGATTGGAGTGAGGAAATCGTACTTTTAAGCTGGCATTTTTTTTTTTATGATAGCATAAAAATGGTAAACTGCTCGTTGTGGAAACTTTTTTTTAGAGTTTTTTGTTTTTTGTTTTTTTTTTTTTTTTTTTTTGTCAGTTTGTTTTTTATAACATGGAGGTTCCCCTTTTGAGGGAATTTCTGCTTCCTGTTTTCAATCTCACCGTTATTTAATTTGTTTTTTTTTTACAAAAACTGTAACCAAATTGTAAATTAGTCAATGTGTGAATGGTGCAATGACACACCCACAGTACCAAGCAGTAATTTTGCCCCACGGAAATTACCACCTGGTGGGAATACATTCCCTCGTAATGGATGGAAACCAATTTAGAGTTCATGTTTGGGCCATTGCCGTTTTTTTTTTTTTTGTTTTTGTTTGAAAATGAAAACGGAAGGTGTACGAATTTGTCAAGGCAATCATCATGTGTCATAATTAAGTAGGAAAATAATGACACGTAGGGAGAAAATTTTTTTGGGTATAGCTCCTCTTCACCTTATGGGGGAATGTTCGCCCGTTTTATGGTTATGTGGTAAATATTCTTAAGCATAAAATTAAGTAATAAAGTCGTAAGTATGTGTACATGTGTACACATCATTTTTACACGTTGTAAATAACTTAAGGACAAATTTAAAATGTGAGGGGAAAAATAATGCCCATGGAAAAACATGCTGGCAGAACTTTGTACACACACACACACACATGCAGAGGGAAGGAAAAAAAAAAAAAAAAAAAAAGCAGATAAACCCATATGAGGATACAAAAAAAAAAGTGAGAAAATTACGAAAATGTGGCAGAAGAATATGATAAAAAAATATACTCATTTACGCATTTTATGTTTCAATTTTTTAACGTGTAAATTTGGTTAAAGAACAGGGGGCTCAGGACATACAGTGTTTGCGCTTTTCTCACATTTCTTATTTTTCGCGGAAAGGCATTTTTATTTGTTGCTGAGCGGATGGGGTGGGGAATTTTCACACTTCTTCGTAACGCATAGTATGGTATGTATATTGCCAATCGTATCGTATCGCTTTTTTTTTTTTTTTTTTTTGGGCAGATATGGGTATCCCTATTGTGCATTTCTTCTTTTCCTTTATCGTAACAAATAGCACAATTGCGTGTCATTTTCTTTGTTATCTCTTTAATGGGTGAAAATGCGAAAGTTCATTTCAGTTTCCTTTTAAGAGCAATTTTACTGGGACCCCAACAAAACAAGAAAAAAAAAAAAAAAAAAAAAGGAAAAATGTTCACATGTACTATACACGCATATACTTGCATAAATGAACGGAAATGTATGCGCAAAAAAATTGCATATGCGTAATTATGTAAAAAAAAAAAAAATGTTAATTTGCGCCAGGAAAAAGGAAAAAAAGGAAAATACATCACTGAAGATATCATTTCTTTCCCATTTAACAGATTAAAAAAAAAAGAAACGAAAATAGTGCCATTTTAAATGACACGGTTATGTCTTTGTTATATCAAAATGAAAGTGTAACGTTTTTGATAAACAAAAAAATCGGACATATCGACGGGAAAGTAAGAGTAGCCAAAATTTTAGGAGATGCGTAAAGAGTGAATGAACATACATGGCATTGTGTATGTCTGTACTTTATACATTTGCGCTTTTTTTTTTTTTTTTTTTATTTTCCAACCATTGTACTTTTAATGGTTCTGCGCATTTGAGTTATTTTTCCGCGCCTTCTGACTTGTCACACTTTTTTTTTTTATTTGTTTGAGTGTATTTGTTTGTGGTTGCGTGAGTTGGGAGACCCCGCACGTGCAAGCGTTAACGAATCGGCATATTCGTGTACTAGACCAGTTTTCGCACGCGGGCGTTTGCATATGCGCGCGGATAAGCACATTTGTATATTTGTGCTTCTGTACATCTGCACTTGTGCCCTGCCTTTGCACCGTATGCATCTCTCCGAGCCGCATTAGCGCAGTGTACCGCCCCGACTGCGAACACCTAAAAGTCTTCCGACCGTGTGCACGTTGCTACACGCATATGTTCATACACATGTGTAGTAGGCCCCACCAGGTAGAGCAAAAAACACTATGCATAATTCCAACAGGAGAAGCATTTCGAATATACAAAAGAGAAAAAACGTGAAGCACATTTTTCAAATAAAAAAAGACAGAACTGATCAAACTCTTTACAAACCCATAACATATAGTAGCGCCAACCATCCCAAATCTATGGTTAATCCAAATTTTCCAACTCATGGAAATAGACGAAAGGAAATGAATGATGAAACAATATATGGTTTCAGCAATAAAGAGATTAAGCATAAAATTTTAGACAAAGAAAATATGATAAAGAATAAAATTTATAACAACGCTAACAGTAGTTTGAAAAAGAAGAATTATTATGAAAAAATAAATGCTACGAATAATGAGGAAAAGGAATTTGTCAAGCCGAAAAACACCGTTCTGAGTGAACACGTTGGTAAAAATTACATGGACAAAAAGTATGGCGACAATAATAATTTGGCGAAGGATCGATCCAAGTTTCGAAGAATAGGTTACTATAATGAGGAGAATAGTTTAAAAGCGAATTCTGCGTATGACGATGTGAATAATACCATGGCTAGTATGGGTGCTGTCCCAAGTGCGAGTGGCAGCGCACCGCGTCGCAAGTTTAACGATTTAAAGGGAGCTCCAAGTGGAAGTGGCGGTAACAACACCGGCGAAGCTATGAAGAATGAAAAAGGTGGTACCGTGGAAGGGGCACATAGTCAGAAACAAAATGTAGATCACTTTGGAAAGAACAATTTAATGTACAACAAAAGTAACAATGATCATAACGCCAATTATAACTACTCCAAGATGAACAGAAATCAGAACAAGTATGGTAATGCCGATTATAGGAATCCTCCCCAAGGGACAGTTCCGATGGGGACAGCAGGGGTAGGCACACAAGGGGCACAACCACCACTACGATCTCAACCCATTTCCTACATGGGAAGGGACAAAGTATACCAGAAAAATCATATCGAACAAGGTAGTAATCCCAATATGAACAATGTCATGGGTAGAAAGGGTAGCTATAAAAACGATACACTAGGGGCAAAGGATAAGATTTTGAATGAGGAAAATTTTATCGAAAATAACAAAATGAGTGATAATGATGTAGAGACAGGTTTGGGACATAACGAGTTTCAGAAGAGTAAAAATGTTCCTAATAGTAAGGGCGCCATGATGAACCCCAAAAATGTATCGAAAAAAGGAACAAACTATAGTAAGCATAATGACGACATGGTTGTGGATCACGACAGAGTCAATAATAATTATGCATTCAAACAGCATAACCCTAATATGAGAAGGAACATGTATAGCAATTACCCCCAGGGGTCTAAAAATGAGAAAAATATGCCTCAACATAAATACGCGGTTGATAAAGATGGAAACAGAAAAAAAGAGCACCAGAATTTTTCCCTAAGTACCATAGACTCGAATTATTCCCGTCAAAATACTTTTGAAAAAAATTTTGGTTCTAAATTTGTGGACCCACATATGAAGGATATGATGGATGACATTAAGGAAAACCCAGCCGACTATAGTGTCCGCTTGGATGAGACCAAAGGAGAAGGTAAAATGTATTCCAAAAATTTGTCTACAAATAATGAAAAGGGAATTAATGCATCAGACAAAGGTGCTCCATTGGGCGGTAAGGAGGAGGATGAATATGTAGCCACAGGCGAATACAATGAGTGCCCACAATTGGTAGGTGTCTCAACCACCAATAGTTGTGTGAATAATAGTACAAGTGGTAATAAGGCTAATCAGTCATTTAAGAAAGACGGAGGTAATGGTCCTAATGGGAGTGGAAATGCCAACATGGGGGAGAAGCAAAGATTGTTTGAAAGGGCAGATGTGAATGCTCCTTCCAAAAGTTATGAGTATAATACAATCGATTCGGGAAAAGTATCCCCAGAGTTTGGTAATGATAATACGAATATGATAACATGTGAGGGGAGAAGTGGAAATTTGGAGAATTCAAATGATGTCATCCCTAGTATGTCTGGGGTTAATGCGAATGCAGGTTATTTGGCTAATGCCAATACAATGTCTAAGGGGAATACAGGTGCTAGTATGCACCATATGAGGGATAAGACTCTCCCGCAAAATGTAAACGTGTATGGTAGTACCCCCAAGTATGAGGACGCTAAACAGGTTAGAAAACGTTCCAATAATATGCAAGGGATATATAAAGGAAAGAAAGCCATGAAGTATGATCCTCCAAATGATGAAGATTACCATAGGTACCATTCATCAGAGGATTATAATAATAATGATAGTCATCATGTACATAATTTTTTTTACGAAAATGTAAATGACAACGACGAGGAATATATGAGCGAAAACGCGAATGAGGATGTTGACTTGGATGAAAATGATTACAACCCGAGAAAGGAGCATAATTATGCTAACCGAAAAATGAATTATAAGCACTACCCAGAGAGAAGTATGAGGAGACTTCACCACGATAGTATGATGAATTATCCAAAGGACAGTAAGAAAAGAGGCTCCTATGGCACTGGATGTACGACGTACTCGGAAGAATATTACCCCGACGAGGAATGCACGCCTGAGATTAGTTGTGCCTACGTGGAGTACCAGCAGGATGGCTACCCCGATGTCTGCTACTCAGGTGCGCCCCTGGGGCTTTTCGCCCAGCTTGTGTTTTGCTTTGCGTATGTCTACTCCAGTTTTTAACCCTGCGTCTGCTTACCCCAACGCTTGCTTAGTCGGCTCATTTGCTCTTGTACCCTCTACTCCCGTTAGACATAGACAACCCTGAGGATTCGCGAACTTACCACAGCAGCTATTCGCACGATTCTAAAAGCGGTATGCCGATGAGGAATGTGTGCGCCGTTCAAAGTGGCGTAGTGGAGAAATTGCGACAGCTACTACGCTCCGATGGAAGACCCATATGGTTGCCCATGTTATGAACAGTCCATTGTGCATACTCTTTTGCTTCCAATTCCATTCCTCTTTTTCCTCCCCCCCCCACGTAACTGCAGAAAAAGGCGCGCTCACAATCATCAGACTACCAGCCGAGAACAAAAAACAAGTAAAAAAAAAAAAAAAGAGCATAGTTAGTTATGGAAAGTCCTTAGTCGAAATGTATAGTACAGCCATCCCGATAAACGAACAAGTAGACCCTTATGCATTAAAGGCACTGTCAAAGAACGAAAATTTAAATGAGAAAATATATGCACTGATTCCAAAGTCAGTGGTTGAGGTTAGTGAATATGATGATGTTACTCATGTTACTTTGCAGTCCTCTTCGCCCCTTTTCGTTAATCAAAATGATAATGTCAAGCATCACATTATAACCAGCACGTATCATCAGAAGAGCGATGATATTCCTAATATCGCGTCCTGTGTCGTTCCGGAGTCCGACGAGTCGTTGAAAGGTTTGTCTTTGCAGAAGCGGCATGAACAAGTTTCTATGTGGGACACGTCTTGCCCTGTGTGGGAGCGATAATTATTCGTTCCTCGGTGTTACCCTCCAATTGCATATTTCATCGTTCCTTATTTATAGTTAATTCCCCCCTCTTACCTCCTTCGCAGAGTCACTGGAAAAGTCGAAAGAGTCCCTAAGTGGAGCAGAAAACGATAAAAATGTAATGCACTCGTAGTGGCGAATGCGCGTTGTGCGCATGCATCGGTTCATCCATCCATACATACATACATGCATACATCGGTGTAGCGTCTAGACAAATATATATCTATTCGTTTTACACATTTGCAATTTCCCTTCCTTTTTTTGCATTGTGCACCCCCTTCCGCACAGCTCAAGTCCATAATCAGGGGAGCGTCGCTGAGAAACAAAAGTGGATCATCACTGAGCGTCAAGTTTAAGTTGTCCCAAGGGAACCAAGAAAACAAATCACAAGGAAAAAATGAAAATAAAAATAAGTCACTGAATGGGGAAGATAATGAAAAAGAATTAAATAAAAAAATTGAAGATCACATTCTATCGGAAGAATTAAGAAATTTAAAAATTGACAAAAGCATTACTGAAAAAAAGAGGGCTTCGATATTTGATGAGCCAAAAACGAGACTGAGACAAGAAAAGAAAAGCGAAGCAAATAACAAAGTCGTTTTGGATTCAAATAAAGTAAAAAATGCCACAGAAATTAAGTTAAAGAAAATTCAACATGTTACTGGGTTGCTCGAAAAATATGACATACCGAACCCATTTGCGAGTTACACCATGGAGCCCATAGATTACTCCCAATTGCCTGGAAAAAATAACAGCGCAAAGTTGATGAGCCTGGCCCACACGGTAAGCTGCATATGGGGATCGATGCATAAGTGTGGACACCCGTCCGAGTTGTTCTTGCACTCTTGAACGGAAGCTAGCCGCCCGGCGATTACACATTCTAAAGGTTTGCCCCCTAAATGTTGTTCCCGTTAATGTTTTTTTTTCCCCTAATATTTCCCTTTCGTAGGTTTCAAACAATTACTACAAGTACATTTTAAAGAGCATGGAAAAGGAAGAAATTAAGGAAGTCTTTAACGAGAAGAGGAAAAAAATGATCCTCAAATTGATAGCCTTGTTAGGAAACCAAATAAATTCAGAAATTAAGAAAAAATTTGCAGAGGCCAATGCGGCTGACATATCTAAGGAAAGCGAACTGGTAGGTGGAGATGGGCAACAGCATCTGAGTGAAAAATGGTTGCGCGGGAAGCAGTTACAATTGAGTTGGCTCCCTATTGGGGGAGTGGGAAAAAAAATGCATTTGATTGTTGTGTAGTGTGTGGATAAACAAAGGACTGGACAGCACACACATGTGTATTCGACCCGCGTACATTATTTCATTTTTACAACATGTGCAATGTTGATGAGTTGGATACGTGTGTGCGCATCTGAGGACACACGTAATATACGCTTAAGCGAGCACTTCCCACACATGCCGTTTTGATGCCCCGACCCGCAGAAAAAAGAAGACAATGTGAAGCCACAAATGAGCCCAAAGGAAAGGGAAATAAAAGTTGAAGAACATAATTTGATATGTCAGTATTGGGAACAACAGAGCGAATGTATGAGCATGTTAATAAAGGAGTGGAATAAGATTTGCGAAATTTTAGAATCGATAAAAGTAGATCCTAATAACATGATTAGTTCACTGATCTCCCTGTATGGTGAGAAAACTGTGAGCGATTTTCACCTGAGTGTCGACCAGATAAAGGAATCTAACATTGAATTGGATGTGAACGTTGATGATATTTCCATTCCGAACATTGGGGAACCCCCCGAGAATAAATTCGACCCATCTGGAATGACAGTGGCGAAGTTGATTCAGGTAAGAATAGCATAAAATAGAATAAAATAATATAACGCAATATGTATAGTAATGTATCTGAGGAGGTAAAGGTGCACACTTGAATGAGGAGTGGTGAAGATAGTACCACTCCCCGCCGATGTTAAATGTATAGATTGCCTGATTTATGTGCGATTTGCTTTTTCCCTTTTTGAAGGACATGAAGTGGGATGTGGACCTGGAGTTTTCACTTAACCAGATAAGGGAACAATGGAAAAATGAGAATAAGCAGAATAAGAAGTTGATACAGAAGAAGGTAAGGCACGCTTGTTTTGTGCGCCATTGCGACATTGCTTGTTTGGGTCTTCCTTCGTGTGCGTATGTCTTCTTGAATTTTTTTGATCTGTCATTAGTGGTGCCGTACGTAGGCTGATTTATGCATTGGGGCCATTGTAACCCCTCCATACATGGGTAACATCCCCCCGCGCACTGTCCCCCCAGATCGTCGAAGGAATAAAACACAGAATAGGACTCCTGGACTACCTGAACAATGTGGAAGTGAACTTAAACGCATTTGCCAAAATAATTGAAGGAAGGATGATATCAAATGATGATGTGAAAAGTCAGTTGAGGTCTATGCAAGATTTACATGAGGATGGAATTTTGTCAAAACTTTTGCAAAATTTAGAATGTAATAAAATGGATATAAATGCAGAATCGTTTAGAACTCCTACGTCTTTTTTCATTTCACATCATTTGCCTATGACTATGTGCTCACTGAGTGATAAGTCTAAAATGGACAACCTGGAGGGGAATGGAAGCAGCGATGGTGGCAACGGTATAGAAGGAAGCGGCAGAAACAGCAGAGGAGATGGAAGCGGTAATGGTAGCGACAGCGGAAGCAGCAACGATAATGGCAAGGGTAATGATAACCAGGGTGAGCATGAACAGAATAAAGAACATGAAAAAGACTCCGATGAAAATATCAGTGAAGAGAATCAAAGCTCCGGCGACGAGAAGGCGTGAGTGTAGGAGGGGGATAAAATGACAAATTTTGTTCCTTTCCCCCCCCCGCATGGCCAAGGAGAACCTTTTCTGTGGTCCCATTATTTCAGATTAGTAAAAAGTGAAAACCGCCGTTATCACGTGAATAAGTGGACGTGTATATGTCTCCTAGCGCACTTGTACCACATGCATATGAACACGAGCATAAGAACATTTGAAAAGACAAAGAACAGAATAATCAAGTTCTCAATCTGTTTGCTTTCTACACCCATCGTGAAACTAGGAACATTACACTTCCTTCCAATTTGTTTCAACAAATGGAGAAGAATATTGTTCTACCCCTGGCCCAGACATGTGAAAGTTTATATGTATGGATGGGCACACTTGCATAAAGGCGTACGTTTATTAAGCCATATCAGCGTTCGTTAGCTAGCCCCTTTTCTTTTTTGTGTGTTGCTCCTTTGTTTTTTTTTTTTTTTTTTTGATTACTTTATCGCTATTATTTCGCTACTTTTATTGCTACTATTATCGCTATTACTATTTTTTTACCATTTATATATTTGTGTGGTTGTGTTTTTTGTAACTATCACTTTGCTCATTTTTAATGCCTCGCGCGATTCTCCAAGAGATCGTCGCTTCGTCGTCGCCATTTATGTGCGCCACTTCGCCACCTTTTTAAATTCGCAATTTTTAGTACGATCCCCCTGCGCAGGAAAAACGCCCACACGTACAGAAAAAAGTGTGTGTGTTTGCGTATTATGTATTTTCCATTTTCGCCCGTTCGTTTTTCATTATTTTTATGGTACTTTTATTTTTCCACATTTTGCCTTCCTTTTTTTTTTTTTTGGTGTTAATTTATTAAATAGCGAAAAGAATAATTAGTTAAGCGCGGGTATTCTCCCCGTCGTGGTAGTCTTTCAATAACGCCTTTTGAGTACACGCTTTAATCACGCCCGGGAGACATCCTGAAGGGTTTATACAAAGTGCGACCACCCTTCGTACACACTGTACGTATGCGTCATATTGGGGTTGTACATATATATACCTACTGGAGAAGAGGCCGAACGGGTCTTGACATGTTCACATTTTTTTTTGCGTCCCCTGCAATCGTGCAGTTTGTACGTACAACTCTTTTTACACTTTTTATTATGTTTCCTTTACTTTCTCGTTCCTTTCCTCTCGATTTTGCTTTTGCTTTTTTTTGTGTGGCATTTTTAAGAATTTTTTTTTTTCAATTAGGGGTTATGTGAAAACGTATTCAGCGTTTCTCATTTTTTCCTTGTGCGAACATGTGCGGGATTGTTAACTTATGTACATACTGTGTACGTTTGAGCACAGTGGAGATTTACTGCCTCCCGGTTTAAAAAAAAAAAAGTACGCTGCGCACTGCCTGCGAAGCAACTGTGCAAAAGAAGCTATATATATAAAGGAGTAGGTAACACAGTGGCTGTAGTAGGTGACCACCGCGCCCCCCACAATTTCCCTCCTCTAAGCTGATAATTAGCACGAATTTTTTTTTATGTTCTCATTGGTTATAATATTTTTTCTTTGGAGAATAATTTATTCTAAAATATTTCAGGGCAAGAAAAAATTTAAGCAGTAGCAGGGAGTTTCAAGAATGTTTGAGAAAGTCGGCCATAGATAAAACGATAATTTACAATAGTGTGGGGATCTCTTTATTATAACTTTTTTTTTTTTTTTTTTTTTTTTTATTTTCTTGCGCGCAAATTTGTGCCATTTATAAAGCTTTGAACCAGTCCTAATCTCTGCATAGAAGCCTTAACAGATACTTTGAAAAAAAACAAAAATGAAGGGATTCTGCGCTGACAATATTTCCTCCCAGAATTTGATGAAGTCCTCAGTTCAGAGGAGTATCAAAGCAACGGTAAGTTCCATTTTGGCGTTGTCGTGAAATGGGAAAAAGGAGCAATCGCTCTTTCTACGTTTTAGATCGACTGCAGACGTGGACTTTTCTGCGGCAATGATGTGTTGATGCGGATTTGTTGACGTGGTTGTATCTATGCAGACGAGCTGTCGCGGATCTGACAAAATGGTTGCGCGCCTATTTGTCACTCTACATTAGTTCTATACCACTTTTATGGAGATTTCATGGTGATTCTCTCCCTAATTGTTGTATGTGGTGTGCTGTGGATTCCTCCCCTCACTGCGACTCCATCGCTCGCTCGTTTAGAGGCAATTGTTACACGTGAATTAATCTCTTTTGTCCCCTAAAGATTTTAAAGCAATACCCCAAATTAGAAGATTTCACTGAAGATATATTTCCCAAAAAGGGGTCCCTGTTTTTAGGAAAATGGTACTAAAAAGGAGAGGCGATAAAAATGGCCACCACACCAATCTATTCTTTTTTTTTTTTTTTTTGATTGCCATTATCTTAACCAAGTGGACCGTACACGTGGAAACGTAACAAGTGTGCATATGTTGTTCCATCCACCCCCCGTCCACTTTTTACCTTTTCATAGCATAAACCACGTTACTGTAATTATTGGGAACAATGAATTGCTCTTTTTTCAAATAAGGAATGGTCCTTGGATGCCCAACTTGAAATTAGTGCACAAATGTGAGAAGCAAATGGATTTTTTTTTTTTTTTTTCACTTACGGGGCGCATAAAACATTTGTTTGAATCCCTACGCATGCATTTGTACAGAATGCGTTGTCAATCTGCACCGTATAGACCCTCATTGTAGGTTTAATTTGTTTCCCGTTTTTGCCTGCACATGTCCGTATGCCCATATTTACGTCCCCCCTCCACTTTGTAGACCCGTTCATGATGCCACAGATACAAGTTGACAAAGGAGCCATAAAGAACGTTCTGCGTGGATCGAATATAATGTGTCCAGGAGTTACATCCCCCGGTGGGAAGCTAGACGATGTGGAATCAAACACGGTGGTCGTAAGGATACATGGGCATGTCATTAACGTGTATAGATGTGTACATGTATGGAAGAGCATATAGTGAAACAGGCGCGTTTGTGAGTACCTTGTCAGTTCCATTTTTTTTTTTTTTTTCCCTTTTTTTTATTGTAGCAAATTCGAGCGGAGGACAAAGAATTCGCATGTGCCATAGGAATAACTACCATGTCATCAAAGGAAATGTACGGATAAGGACGAACTAGACTACCCCTTTCTGTGCACCCCGTTTTTGTATCCATATCATACATAATCTTTTTTTCTTTCTTTCCTTTTTAGCTTGGAGGTGAACAAGGATATCTGCATCGAAAATATACATTACCTGAATGATGGTTTATGGAATTGCAAAATTGAGAATTAGTTGGCGGGGGTTTTGCTCAGCACATTTGGTAATCCTCCTGATGTGTACACGCCCGTCCTTAGTAGAAGATAAAAGGACGCATCTCAACATGTGACAGGTTTTTGGTAGCTACTGGCAGCTTTAATCATTTCCTTGTAGCTGCTTTTATTTGATTCGTTTGTATCATGTTTTTTCGAAACACCGTTTTGTAACGCATCAAATGGAGTGAAAAGGCATTTGTGCCAGGTTTCCCCTTTTCAATTTTATGCATCGTTATATGTGTAAGTACATATTCGGATGGTGTTTGTTTTCGTTTAAAGGGATGATCCTTTGGATATTACATTTGGGAATTTTTGTTTTTTTTTTTTTTTTTCAGTTTAAAGTCGTTTGTTCTTCATTTTAATGCAAATGTTGCGCGTTCGTTAACTTTGATTCTTTGTCGAAATGGGACAGGGGCGGTGTCGGCTTCTGATTTTGCCCTAAATTTTGCGGCAAACATTCGTAACTTTTGACACTTTATTTTCGCATTATTATTTTGCTTGGACGCGTTTATTTTTTCACGTTTTATTTGGCCCCATTTGGCTATCATTCATTTTAATATCATAAAATTCTCATATAAACAATTTAAGGTAATGGCGAACTGTCCTTGAGCTGGCGAGCGCTTGATGTTTCCTGCGGGCTGTTGCGGAACGCCGCGGAGGGGCATAAATTTGGGCAAGGTACGAATCAACGCGCAGCAACAAAAGGAACCATTTTTTTTTTTTCTTTTTCTTTTTCTTTTCTTAAATGAAGAAAAGGCACAATTGAATTTAAATTTTGTCCTTATAATGGGAACTACATACAAAATAAAGAGTAGCAAAATAATAGGGGCAATGAAAAATATGATTGAGAGTTAAAATTGTAGAATTTATTCTAATGACGGCGTAGCCTAATGGATAAGGCGTCGGTCTTCGGAACCGAAGATTGCGGGTTCGAGTCCCGTCGCCGTCTGTATTTTTTTATTTTTTCTTTTTTATATATTCTGTGAAATTCAGTTTCATGTACTGCGTATTATCCGAACCTATATGTTCGTGCTATTTGTTCTTTTTACCTGTACCGCCGTGCAAAGTACAACACATATAATTCTTACGCGCCCTGGGCATTAAAATCTGTATACAAGGGGACATTCCATTTAGGGGGTAATACGATTTTGCAGTCGTCGCTTTTTGTTTTTTTGTTTTTTTTTTTTTTTTGACCTACATATGTCAAATGCGTCAGTAGAAGTGGTCCAATTTTTTCCTTAAAGCGGATTACATCCTTTTTTAGTACAAGGGCGCTCCCACAAAAAATATATAAATTTTTACCTCGATGTGAAGAGACCGCACGTCGTGAGGAAGTCAAAATACAACCTATGTAAGCGGGTAGCTACGTATGTGGGTTATGGGGACTTATGGGTAAGGTTGGGTTCAATCAAAGATGCCCTTCTTTGTATGCCTGCACGATTGTACATTTTTATTTTTTTCTACACATTTTACATACCGGTCATGTCGATTTAAGAATAACTTACATTGTAGAATTGAAATACACAAGGGGACAGAGGAGAAGAGAATAAGGCATAAAATAGGGACAACCAAAAATGGTGTAATTCTCTGTGATTTGGTTTCCCCACTTGAGCTTCGATTAAGCTTGCGAGCGCATCCATTGGAGCAAACTTACTATTATGACACTATATTCATCGTATTGAAAAAGAAATGATACTGTGATGTGGAGAGTACACCAAATGTAGGCACAAGAGTTGAAGGGGCTAGAATGAACTGCACATTGTTATACAAAGTGAGTGCATCATCAACACAGATCAATGGTGGGAGACCATGCTGAAAAAGGTGCTACGAAACCGTTGCAACAGTCTGTTAGACGAAATAGAACCGTGCCGTGTATTTGCCCTCTCGAACCATTTTGTTAAGTATGTTGTCGTAAAACATCGCATTCTATTTTGCGTGCACGAAGTGGCGTCCCTATGTGGACAGCGCAAGGTCATGGTTTCGTCCTGTTGACAGTTTTACCAAACAACATTTGTGTAGTTCATATGGCGACGTGCAATGCGCATTATTGCAGAGCGTTGTGCATGTGTGGAACACTCATAGGACAGACATGTGTGCATGAATGGAGAATATTCTTCGTAGGTTACGCGCTCGCAACGAAACGCTATAAACTAATTAGAAAACAAACAGCCAAGAGTGACCGTAAAAATTACTATTCATATTTATTCACAAAAAAAAAGGTGTACTTTAAAAAAAGGGGTTCCCAAATAACGCGGATAAGAACACTCAATTGTTCTTTTTCGTCTTTTGTATTTTGTTTATAAATGCATAGACGTCTTCATTGTAGACGTTCATTTGCATGAACGCGTTTGCCTGAGGGAAGGGGTTCGAACAAAGGGGAGCATTTTAGTGGCGGAGAAATGTAAGAAGGGCATTGTAGCTAGGTGGTATCGGGTGGACTGTATTTCCAACACGGTGCATTTGCTACACCGCTCCTGCGCACATGAATTACCATTTTTTGGAGGGGCAAATAGGACAACTGCTTAATCTCCAGGAGAGAGAGACTAAATAAATGTAAAGAGATGGAGGAGTACTTGCTCATCCGCAGGCCCCCAAAGGCAGTTATCAATTTGTACGTACTGTGCACATCGGTAAATGATTTTTTTTTTTTTCCCAAATATGATTGCACGTTATCGAAGAAGAGGGTGCACATGGTTAAATATTGTTTGGAAGAATTGTACAGCATTTCATCGTAAGATGGTGCGTTTTTCTCAATTTTGTTTTTCGCAGAGCGGGTCCGCACGCTGGATGGGGAAGCAGTTTGGGACGGAGCAGCGTCCTCATCAGGGATTCCCTCGGGGTCCCTCCCATTTTGCCATTTCGCTATGAGTTCATTCTGTCTATTATTTTCATCAGACGCACATACGTAAGCCTCTGACAGAGCAGAACAGACATTGGCCAGCTCTGAAATTTTAAACTGCTGAAGAAAGATGAGTGCTAATTTGGATAAGCATATGAGTAAGTCGTACTGGAGCAAGCAGTTCCCTTTAATTAAGGAATAAATTATTGAGCATATTAAGGTGGAATTTATGTCTTTACTCAGATGTGTTATTAACAGTTGTTCCATTTTGTCTATGTGCATGGAATGGTTATTTGAGCCGTTAGAGTAGTTCATTTTTGGTACCTCGGATGGGGGGTTGTTTCCGCTGGGGGAGCGATACTCATGAGGATGTTTCACGAGCGTGTCATCCCTGTTGTCAGGGTTTGGATCCTCAAGTGCATCGACGCTTTTCTGTTGTTTAGTTTTACCAGATGAGGTTTGGGTCAAAGGAGGCGTCTCACTCAAATGACTATTACATTGAGTAGAGGGAGGAAGTTCTTCCATCCCCAGCGTTTTGGTAAACAAAGCGTATGACTCATTCATGTGCTCATTCAATGTGTGTCCATTAAAGTTGTTTTCATTTTCATTTGAATTCAATTCATTCCTTGTTGGAGATCCGTTTGTGGGGCTTTCAATTTGGATGTGCTCCCCCGAATGGAAAGAACAATCCTGTTTGGCGGCCTGCTTGTTTGAGAGGTTATCCATATAACTGCAATAATATTGGTGATTAATGAAAAGGTATAAAATGGGGAAGAGTTTATCTGATGTGATGTTTTCTGGAGTTAAATTGTCAAGCCCTTTTGCCTTTTCGATCATGTCCAAGTACTTCTCATCATTGTACGTTATAGAATTGAGATTCTCATTCTGTTCCAGAAATGGATAAGAAGTTGTAATGAGGGAATAAATTTTGCGGCTGAGTTGGTGGAAGAATTCCTGTCGGTGTTGTGAACTTTTTGTATAGGCCTGTAACAACATGGATAATTCCTGTAGGGTGTACTCCTGAATAAATACGGCGGCAGTATTCCAGATGGACTCTAGAAGTGCATTGTTTGATAAGCCGATATTTACGTAGGCATGTATAATCATTACGATCTGTTTTGGTTCAAAAGAACTTAAAAGGTGTAAACTATTTTCTGTAATGATATGGAAGAGTTCCTCATGTAACACACATGCATTATTAAACGAGTTGGCTAAAACGCTCAAATGTCTGGGCTTCAGCAAATATGATTTATTTATTAATTCTTCTGCTATGCGTATGTATAATGTTAGGAAGTTTGCCTCTTCTGCACTTTTGAATTTGCTGTACGCATTGGTTAGAGAAACGAGCTGGTCTATGGAAAAGTACGCAGCTTTCTCTTCAATTTTGTTCTTCAAAAATAGAAACAGATCTTTGTTCAAGTGGTTAACCCTGGCACATGCATTCGCCACGTAGTGAATGGAATCGGGACACCACACTGAATCAGGGTATACACCTGCGTCTTTCTCATGGGGGTCTTCCTTGTGTGAATTTTTCCCAATAAGATAAGAGCATATTTGCTGCACCACATTTCTGATGTAAAATGTGTTAAAGTTGTACAAGGAAGACAAGTAGTTACAAATTAAGCATACATTTTTGAACTCAAAATTGTTAATTTTTTTTACTACATCTGCGCAGAGTAGTTTGAATTTATTTTCATGTTCAGGTAGTAGCTTTAACTTGGCAAAAGCGTACAGTACATATAAAGACCCATACTGGGAAAATTTCATATTTCGTCTAAAATAGTGGTTCAGCAGTGTGTTCACCATGCATGGATCGTTCACTTTGATTTTGAGGAGGCACTTTAGGATGATTCCAATTTCGCATGAATTGAACTGACTAGAGTGCTCTTTTATGTTGCACTTGATGATATTCAGGACGTCTTTTTTTTTTTCTTCCTCTTCTACTTCTAGTTCTTCCTCTTCCATTATATGTAGTTCGTTGGTGTCTCCCGCATTTTTTTTTTTTTTTTTTTTATTTCTTTGATCGTCCATTTTGCTACTTCTGCTTAACTCGATGCAGTATCGCATTATGTTCTTCACAACTTGGTTCTTCTTAGATGTGTTATGGCTCAATATAATTTCTGAAATATTTTTGTGTAGGCTGCTATATTCTTCCATTTCGAGTTTGTTTTTTTCTCTCATGGCATCCGCCATGTCAAAGTACACCTCGTCAATCATTTCGAGGTGGCTCTTCTTTTCGCTTTTTGTTCTTGGCTGGTGAAGTTCTCCAAAGCGTTTGGTCACCGTGCTGTACAGTAGATAGCCTTTGTCGTTTTTCATTTTGTTAAGTAGTTTACCCTTTAGGGGGGTAAGAAAAAGGGAAGCTACACTCATTTTTTCGTATCTACTTCAGTGGTAGAAATTACACAAACTGGCGGTTAGCTTTTCATCTTGTTGAGGGGGGCACAGACCAATTTGTTTGAACCCCTTTGCGGAGCAGAAGCGCAGAACATACGGGCTCATCAGTCGAGCGAGGTTTCCTCTCCTACAGTTCGTACGCTGCAGATGTATATAGGTGTGAAAGTTTATCTTTCCAGTGGGAACATCGTTGTTTTCGCCTACATAAGCGAGGGTGTTTCCCTCAGTGAGTTACCGTCACGGGTAGAGGCAAAATAGCAGCATTTTGTTGTTACCCATGTGATTGAATAAGGAAACAGCAGAGTATGATAAATTCGCCCATCTTATTTTGTATGTGCTTAACATAAAGGGAGTAGCTTATGACGCGTGAAGCATTTACGAGTTGGCGAACGCGACATGGAAGCGGCGTCCCGTTACATTAAACACAGAGAAGAAACCTTTTTATGGTGCTAACCGATTCGCGTTCAATTGTACCCATTGTAAAACGGAAAACAACTGCAGTAGAGAGGCGCTACGTTGGCTAGTAAACGGCGTGCATATGCATATACCATATGTTTGGGACATATAAATCCGCTACACCCTTGAGATGTTTTAGCCCCTTTTTGCACAAAATTGGTGATTGATTTTTCCTCGTCAGCAAAGCATTTTTGAGACAACATTTAATTTGCGTCTCGGTAATATACATAGAACAGATTCATAAAATAGATGGAACGTTCTGTGTGCATGTCAAATTGTACTCAGATGTTACAGCATGGGGATTGGGTTTGTCCCCATTTACTTTTTGGAAGAATAATGGTTGTATGGCAGCCTCCCCGTGGGGTACATTTTATTCGTTGTGGGGTTAATGTGTAGAGGAGGCACTTTTGTTTAACTTATTCCTTATGCACATAATAGGAACAGTGAAAGAGGAATAACAAAAAAAAAAAAAAAAAAAAAAATGAAAAGAGCGTGGTGTCTCCCAACTGGAATGCAGCATCCCCATTTTGCAAGCGTTGCATGAGCTGCCAACTTTGTGCCGATAGAGTTTTACGTGAAGAAGGAAATCTTGGGGAACGACACGTGTGATTAAAAACTTGGGAGAACAACTCATAAAGGGAAATTTTTAAATGTTTGTATCCAAAATTGTCTAGGTTTTTACTGCGTTTTTTATATTTGCGCCATGATTAGTGGGCAGGGCTTCTCTACATGTTAAGGCTAATATCCCTATTTGTGTTGGAAGAAAATGCCGTGCCCTGTTCAATGCGCAAAATGTGAATGCTGAGAAACTGGAACATACGAAGCACACATGACGGGAGACCTTACACTTTCCTAAAAACTTTACGAAAGCAGCAATGTTTTACACATTCAGGAAAAGTATATCCCCTGGAAAAAGAAATAAATATAGTGAGATCATATTTTTTTTATTTGCGGGGGGAGGGAATAAATACTTTTTAAGCACACCACTCAGATATCCTAAGAATTTTTTCAATTGGCAACAAAAAAAAAAAAAAAAAAAAAAAAAAAAAAAAACAGGGACA